GTGTAGATGAAGGTTTCTAAGCCCTACAGACGGTTTGTTATTAAAGACTTGCTTTAACGAACATCAGAACGTTCGTAAAAGCCTAGCCACATGATGAATTTTCCTATGAGACTAAATCTATAAAGAAATTTCGTGAAAAACCGACTGTGTAATGAAACAAAGAATGAATTAGGAACAGTTTTATCTTACAAATGCAGAACTGAACGCTTCCACACTGCATTATCATAGTTAGCCTTTGTTGTGTCCCTGATGATATTCGCCCACATTTTGACGGGGCCCGGAAACATAAACGATTATACAAATTCTAGGAGTAACGCATGACGACTTAATTACCTTTTCCACCGAAAATTCCTCGTTATGAGTGAAACTACATGTAGTAGAATCCACAAAGGAAAATTTTGAAATGACTGTAAGTCACTTTTAGCCATGTTGGAACGATTTTCCCCGAATTGTGGCCTACGAGTTGCGGCCTACAAATTGCGTAAAAATGTACGGGAAGTCAATGACATGCTTAGCTAGGAGAAAGTGCTCTTTAAATACTTGTTAAATACTTGTTACATTAACTCACCTTTCTTCCTCTGAACAGAATTCTACCACCAAATCTTTCAAATGTTCAGCTGAAAACAGATAGTTTTCGAGATACAACCTTATCATGGGCTTCAAATAATACTAAATGTTTTGTCACATACCTTCACAGCAGTCGCAAAAAGATATCGATACAATATCAGTCTTATGCCAGAAGCGTGACGTCGTTGACTTGGCTGATTAATCACCTGATTTGTCTGAGCAGTAAAAGAAGGTCTTTGACGTCAGCAAATGACGTCAAAGTATGGGCTCCTATTATTTGTTTTAATTCGGTTATTGTGGCTTCAAAAAAGAACCTAGACCTTGAATATAATCATTTTTTATTGAACCAATCGACCATCTTTTTGTATCACCTTAAGCCAGATGGAGTAGAGGTAAAGGAATCAATTGGATTGCTCCCTCCTCCCCCCCCCCACACACACACACACACACACACACACACACACACACACACACACACACACACACACACACACACACACACACACAAGTGATTCTGTGCCGTCTTCCACAAGGCGGATCAAGCTGTAAATTTCTGCAGAACAGAGGTCAAATTTTTTCGCTCTTCGGGCGAGTGAAATAAGGAGGGATTCGCGTCTCTACTTGCCTAGACAAGCCAAAAGACTGCCTCTTCTGTTGGTTATCTTCTTGTGCTGTTAAACAACTACTTTTGAACATTTTCAAAGAGTTTTCGAGTATAGCGTAGCATGGTACGCGACACTGGCGATATCAGTTAAACCTGACGGTTTCGTATCTTTTCATTTGTCTGTTGTCTGTGTTTTTGTCGGAAATATTAGGAATACAGAGATTGAAAGGTTGTTTTGGTAAAGAAGAAAGTTTTTACAAAAATTGAGATGGAGAATGGAATTAGAGGTGGTGGTTTTTATGAGAGAAGTGCTGGAAAGAAAAAAAAAAAAAAGAAAAACAAAGATGGTCAGTGAAAGTGATATTCAGACCGATTAACTCTCAGGACCGACAGAAATAAAGAAGGTAAGTTTCTAACAAAACTGTGGTGCTAGGTCGATAGGGGGTATAACCTAATAATCTGGTTTTATTGGCCACTGTAAAGAGTTTCCTAAGAGACTCTCTCTAAACTGTGGCCTTACCTTGTCAAGATACACAAGTAAAAAAACAGTCCCACGCAGGACATTTGACCAAAAGCTTGCCTTTCCAGATTCCTACAAAAAAATATTATTCAGGTAAAGATTATTTTGAATTGTTTCAGCACACAAATCATGATTGACAAGTTTATATTATAACCAGTGACGTTCGCACAAAGAAACAACGAAAAACAAGGAAATAATTTAGACTTCCTCTACTAGTGTAACAATTATGGATAAAAATCAGCGATTGTTGTACAAAGTTTTCAGATCATCCCTTCAAAATAGAGGTTTCTAAAGCCGTATTGTCAACGCATCGGCTTTCGGCGCACTGCTGAAACTCGGAGAATATCTGAGATAATGAGTTTAATTGTATTTTGAGGATAAAGGTACAGACAGACCGGCACGGACTCCCCAGGTGGCTTTCGTGGTCGCAATTTACGCACTTCTTTATGTGCTACCGACCATGTGTAAACTATGATTTCATCAAAGGCGAAGCAGTAACATTGCTTAGAACTAACTCTTCGAAAAAAAAAACACTGAAGAAGGCCCTCTGAAATTGAAACAATGCCTCAAAGTAAGAGGGTAATTAGAAAACATCATAGAAAGGTCTCTGTCAGGGGTCAACTATGCTTTTAGACAATCGGCTCTTACACACACACAAATGTCAAAAGGTCACGAACGTTTATTGCCTTTTGTCACAGCGTACCACCCGGCAGTTAAAATAAAAACAATTATTGATGAAACATTGGAGCCTGATACACAATCAGCCCTCGCTGACAACAATTTCTACAAAACCTCCGATTATCTCTTACAAAAAAGGGAAAATCCCTCAAAGACACACCTGTGAGAGTTAAATTATAATTTGAAGGAAATAATGGAACGCGACCACAAAAGCCACATAGGGAGTCCTTGTCACTCTGTCTTTACCTTTATTCGGATGCGCTTCAACGGAGACTGAGAATAGGTTTTTGAGATGCCAAAGGCAATTGAACTGAAACATCCGGTGTCTGCAACGTTTCAGTTTCTTAGTGAGTTATGAAGTAACAACAGCGGCGAAATGTGGGAGGTTGATTTCGAGCTATACTTCCGAGTGGCTTTCGTCGCTTTTCTTATTCCTCTGGGTTCCGGTGAGTTCTCTATCATTTGTAATCTGAGCATACGAGTTAAGATCTCAAAGATATAAAATAATTAAATTCCATTTTATTGCGTTCAATTAACAAACTGTCGAGTCCGACCGAAAAATGTCAAGTTAATTCCAACATCTGACAAGTTATTTTATTTTGACAGATTGAGTTTGGGAGAATTCTAGTAGCGATTTTCAAACCTATCTCGCGTAGCATGAGTTACTTCCTGTTCAGAGGCAACAACACCTCGTCGACCTCGTCGCTCCTCTTTTCTTAGTTTCGTAAGAGCATAATCTTCTCTACTCAGTTTCACGATATTTATGAAGCGGTAGCTTGAAAGAGATGTGAACTTTTGCCGGAAAAGAACTAGCTCGCTTCGATTAAACAGTTTATGCAACATATCGAGCCTTTTCTTGAATTTACGAGTTGTCTAATTTCTTGAATACAAAGTCGTGTTATTATGCAAATTTGGCACTGATTTCAAGATACTCCATCAAGTCTCCATTTTGGTGTACAATCTAGTTCGATACATTTACTGCCATTTAGTTGCTGCTGAAGACAGTGAGAAAAAAATAAAATAACGATTATCCAGTAAACCAGCGCGAGCCAAGTCAAAAGGAGTGATAACTCCAAGAACAAAGTAAACTGAAAGTCTCAATGATCTTAATATGTTTGCCGTGACTTAGCGTATTATTGTCGACTATTGTTTTTTAACAAATGAGCAGGCAAACACGGCCAAAGTGGACAACTGTCTGACCAAGCGTTGGAATGAAGACATATTCATCATTTTATTCAAACATTACAACATAATCAAATAGAAAATACAGTTTAAATTGACTAAAGAATGAACTCAGCTCGCCTCAGACGTAGATGTTTAAGTATTCGATGTATATTCATGAGACACGACACGAAACAACTACAAAATAAACAATCATAAAGTGTTAATAGATATTTCATTCCTGTTAACTCGTAACATTTGTTTTAACGCCGAGAAACTGAGATGAGCAAAGACCTTTCTTGGAAATTCCGAATCAAGGTATAGCTCTGAAACAACCTTTAATACCAGACAAAGAATTTGGAAAAGTGTTTCAGATTGAAGTGACTTGTTGCTGAGAGGGTCACAAAAAATATCTCGAAAGTTATTCTTAAGGCATAACCAAAATTTTCGTTCTAAAGTGAAATTTTGAAATGTGCCCAATTAAAAATGTTCTGGATTATACTAGGTTCAGTAAATAATAGGTCGCACTCCACCAATCGCTAGTCCAATCGATGATGTCATCGATAAATGTGTCTTGTTAAATCTGCTCTTTGGGGGTTTCGTTAACGACCGGTCGAACGACAGAATGTTACTAGAACAATACTGTAGACCATACGGTTGTTGTAACACTAAGGGCCTGTTTACAAGAAAGTGGGGAGCCCCAGGGAATTGAGGTAACCCGCCTAGCTGTGGTTGAAAAATATTCCGTGTTTACACCCAATCCTTCCAACCCGGGGTCCCGGGTTGAGGTTGTTAGCCTGATACTATAAACTGGGATCGCTCAACCCCTTCCACAGTTCACATTGAAGAAATCATTACAGGATTTAGCCTTTGGAATTTGGGATTAATCGGCTACAAACTACACTCGCACTATGGTCTTTTATCTTTCTTAGCCTTTGATAAATTTTCTGGTATAACTCGATCTTAAAACCATGTGACTACCCCTTTTTTTTTATTAATCACGTGACTAACTTTAAAAGCTGGGTTATTTTCTCGCCAAAATCCAAGACCATGGCATGGTTACTAAGCATGCCACAGTTAACATGGAGGACAGTAATCTCATTCTAAACCGAGCTATTACATCTGTTTCATAACTTAAACTATCATAAAACACCTAGGTATTCTGGTAAATAACTAGGCAATTTTCGGGCTGAATGCATCCTGAGGAAATGTTTTCGATAGTAGAAATATCGTACTAGATAGTTGTTGTTTTTGTGTCTGTGAAGTGAATAACCTCAATTTCTAGATATATCTAGATTTTCGTGTTTGTAGAAAGCACAAATCAGAAGAGTCAGAAGCTTGTTAGAAATTCACATCTTGGCATGAACAATGAAGCAAATATGTTTTCTTGCGATCAAGAACTCAAAACGAAATCTAGCCACGACTATTCAATTAGCTTGAGACAATATGGTTTTATGTCTAATTTTATAACTGTATGTTTTATCTGTTAACTTTTTTATAGGGGCATGTATCGATTTGGATCTTGGTTTGGAAAACGAGAGAATTTCAGATGGTAATATAACCGCTTCTTCAGTACAAAATGCTAGCACACCAGCCAAGAATGGTCGACTGAACTACACATCAGGATCATCATGGTGTGCAGGAACAGGTGACACCAACCCATATGTACAGATTGATCTACAGACACTTCATATCATCTGTGCTGTGTTCACTCAAGGGAATTCTCAAGCAGATCAGTGGGTGAAGACCTACAAACTACAATTTTCCATAAATGGGACAACTTGGACAGACTACAAGGAAGCTGGACAAATTAAGGTGCAATGTTTTCTAAGTAATGACAATTTGAGTACAAATATACAACTTGTTTTACATGTATTTCATGTAGTGAAAAATACATGAACATTGTACTCACAAATCAGATTTTTTTGTACTAACATAGGCTGCCTTTTGTAACAATCTCATTTTTTCTTAACCTAGTCACCAATTTACTTGAAGCCTACAGTAATTTTCATCATGTATCTGTAATATTATTTAATGTTATAACTTTTGAAAATCTTAGGTCTTCATGGGGAATGATGACAGAAACTCAGTGGTGAAGCATGTTGTTTATGAACTGCTGACAAGATATCTGCGTTTCCTGCCACAAACATACCAGGGTTGGGTGTGTATGAGAACAGAGGTGTTCGGAGTGAAACAAAAGCCAGGTATATGTGCAGGCATGATAATATTACATAACCAAAGGAGATCCAATGTATACATTTATGATATTGCTGGCAATGCGTGTGTGCAATATGAGGTGAATCCTATGTTCTGATTGGCAACCTAAGTGGGCAAGATGAGACAATCTTGCCCACTCAGGATTGCCCTCTTTGAGAAAAACTGGACTTATATAGTTAGTAACTTTCGCATAATGTCAGTGATAAAGTTGCAAAAAGCAGCAGAATATAGTCAAAACCAAAAAAAAAAGCAACCCTTTTGGGTTTATTGTGCTACAAACACAGTTAACCTTTTTTCCTGGCTCTCAAAATAAACAAGTCATTCTTGTTTCTTATTAAAGCAAAAGTAATGTTTAGTTATATAATAAATCCTTCATTATTGACCATGCTGGTTAAGTTAAGATGGCTGAACATTAACTTGGTTGTTTTTTCCATTTTTGTGGACCTTTCCTTTGTCTCAGTCAATAAAATTATGAAAAATGGAACTTGGCCGGCATACAGCCATCTTGACCTCACACTTGGTCAATAACCCATTTATATATGTAGATTTTATTTTCTGGTATTCTTTGATACTTTTAGAAAGGATTTGCTTGCTTAGCAAGTTCACTGTTCAAAACTAAGTTTCTTTGAGATTATCTTTGTGGAAGGTTTTGTCAGTGTTAAGTGAAATATAGACAAACAGAGGCTTGGCAAATTGTAGTATGGTGCAATTGTTAAATCAACTGAATAACTAGGCAAAAGGTAGCCATTTTACAACGGAAGTGAGGAAATGATACTAATAGCTTTAATCTGAAATGGGTAATTCATAAGCTATTGTGGGATTGAACTCTAACATGAAACTAATTGGCGCAAATATCTCCTACATGACAGAGAAGTGTAGGTACAGTACAACTACACATAACAAAAAAGGTGTGGAAGGAAATCTAAGAATTTAGGAAAATAACTACATAACTCTTTTTCTTTTGTTTTACATTATCTTGAGTGGTACCACTCTGTTACAGTGGTAAGTTTTTCTTGGCCCATGTGGTAACATTTTCTTCAATATCTGTTCACAGAGAACCTTGCCCTGAGGAAGGCTACAGCTCAGTCTTCAACATTCAACCATACTGCCACTAATTTTTATGGTGTGTCTGGAAAAGCAGTGGATGGAAATACTAACACTAACTTTTTAAAAGGGAGCTGTTCACATACTCAGACTAATAACCCCAGTTGGTGGAGAGTGGACCTGGGTTCAGACCATGTTGATGTCTCTGAAGTTCATATAGTCAACAGGTTCTCACAACATGTGGTTACTGAAGACTACAAAATAACATTAGGTGAGTTTTGTTATCCTTTAATTGAATGTAAGGTCAACCATGCATACATCACCTTATAATCAGCTGCTAAACAACAGGCCAGTTTGGATGTTACAGGAATTTTTGAAACCTCGGCTAAGCTGTATTGACCTTGTTATTAATCAGCCCAGATGTTTTTTACTTGTCATTGCTCAGTCAATATAGGGCCTCAGTTTAAGATTTTCTAGCAGGGATCTCACTCTTGGTTACTCATAGAGTTCAGTGAGTTCATGTAGATGGGACTGGAGTTCTAGAACCAGGGCACTCAAGTGTCATCATTTGTCTACACTGTACCTTTGCATGGGATACTCAGAAGTTTACCTCCAGTAATAATGTTTTTACCTTGCCACTCTGTTAAGGCTATTATTACACTTACAAAATTAATGTGATTAAAGCCTTGTTTTGGTAGTTTTAATTTCTTTTTAATATTCCAAATAAAATTTTCAGGATGTTTACTTTGCTGAAGAATCTATTACAAATTGATCATGTTTGCCACATGGAACCAAACTCTACTAGTAATTCTGACTTTCAGTGCCTCATAATCTGCAGGTAGCTCTCCTAATGTTGTAGGCAACACCCCCTGTAGAGGACTCTATGATTTTCATAACTTCACTGCATCAGCTGTTTGTTTTACCAAACCACTGAAAACTGGTAGATATGTAGGGATTTTAACCACAAAGATACAAAGTCTTGAGCTGTGTGAGGTAGAAGTCTATTCACGAGGTAACTTTTCACTTACTCTTTATACTAAACTTAATGTAGTTGTGAAGTCACTTTTCCTCTTTTAAAAATTGACTCATCCTAGACTTTTTTATATACACATTAATTTAGGTTGAGTATACTTATGTTTGCATGTTTAATGTACAAACTGTATTTACCATTATGATAATTACTACAGCCAAAAGTCATATTGAATTTTAAGTAGCACAAAAGCCTTGAAAAGTACACCTGATTTTTATGATGATATTGATAAACAATTGAATGTAACCAGAGGTAGATAAATCAAGTGCCCCTGGAATATGTTCTTGTAGAGTGCATAAATAAAGACTTTTGTTTAATCTCACAGAAACCCTTTAACCATAAAGATCTTAGAAAAGTTTTGTTGGGAATTATTTTACAGTCATGCTTGTGAGAAATGTCTTTTGATAAGTAACTTAAATATAGGTTTATTTGCTATTTGAATATATGCATATTAGAACACTTTTCCTTGATATTTAGGTCTTAAAATTTACCTTTGGTCTGTTGCCTTAATAAGAGTTTAAGAATAGTACAATTTATCTTCCAGTATGTCAGCAATTTTAAATCTTCAATCAATCAATCAAGCAATATAAGTATGTCTCTTTATTAATTTACCAGTTAGGGATGACCAGTAGAATTTATATAGTAGTACACTGTAGCTTAAGAATGGAGTAAAATGCTATAATTACAATGGAGGTATATTTTTAATTTCAAAATTTATACATACGCCTGTACATTATTTTTTTTTTCTTATATCAAAATTATTGCAGTTTGGTGTCCTTTGCTTTCCAGCTTTTTGGCAAAGGCTGGTACATCTGTAGGCTGCCCAAAATGTAATATCTACCATCAACCAGTTTTTTAAAAATACCCTTTGTTTTAATTTTTCTATATAATGTACAGTGTAACAAACATATTCAGTACAACTCAATACAACTGTCATTTTATGATCAGTGTGTGGACAGCGATCACCTTTGCCCAGGGAAACTTTTCTTTTTTTTGTCAATACGACTTCAACATGGACAAAGCGTGTAATTCATTAAGGATTCTGGTTTTAATCGACACATGTGCAATGAGGCGCTAGAATTACCTGGGGACACTGGACACCACCAAGTATCCTAGCGACCGATTGCAGATTCATCAAAACAAGTTGACCGGCTTTATTGATCACACACCTGTCTTGATTACATGAGCTAAATGCACGGTTGAATAAAAACATGATGGTACTTCCACAAACTGTGGGCTTCAAAGCTGAAGCAGTCAGTGAAGAAAGAGTTTGGTGTGCATGCACTGTTGAAGAAGTAGACAATGTTTACGTGATCGTTTCCTTTGACGGCTGGAATGCAGAATGGAATGGCTGTGTCTGTGATCCACAAGAGATCAGGGATCGAACATTGCCTGATCAGAAAAGAAAGCGAAGAAACCTTTCCCTTCAGTGAACAATGTATTTGCTCTAAGAAAACTGACTTTTACTTTTAAATATCACCCAAACTTATGTAAACAAAAAGCACAAATTACGGTTCTCTTCAATTTCAGGCATGAATTCGCATAATCTTTCATGGACGAAATCTTTATGACTTTCATAGATCAAAACCATTTTCTAAACTACATCTGCTTTATCTTTATCTTTATCCACTTAGCAAACAAAGCTTTCCAAATTACAGTCAAAACACCAGACATAGTTCACTTTGAATTTTTCGATCTATCCTAGTTTCTCAGACTGCATCCAAAAAGGTTTTACTACACAGCTTCCATCTAAGACTCCCAGTGGAACATGACGTAAAATACATCATGTGTTACTGGGTAACAGTGCTCATACATATGCACGAACCCCACTCAAGTGGGGTTTGCAGAATTACACACTTTGTCCGTGTTGAAGTCATCATGGTGTGTACATTTTCTCCTAGAAAATCTGGCATTTCAAAAACCAACATATCAGCACATAAGGACATTAGCAGGCGGCACAAGTGATAGAGCAGTTGATGGAAATAGCAATATGAACTTTGCGGGTGAATCATGTTCTTTTGTGCAAGACAATCCATTTCCATGGTGGAGAGTGGATCTAGGACAAGATGAGTTTGTGACTGAAGTGTATGTAGTCGGTTTACTTGATGCAGATCGTCTGAGCAAATTTGAGATCAGAGTTGGTAGGTTAATACACTTGCAGTAATGGTTATTTTTGAAGTGGTCAATGCACTCTTAGCTTAATGTCCTCAAGAAAAGAGGGGAAAATGGTGTGCTGTGGTTTCCGGCTTTGACAAAAGCTGGATTGGACCAGGTTGGATCATGGTCAGGATCAGGGATCAGATCATGGGTTAATTGCATCACAGAGCAAACAAAAAAGTTTTCAAAAAATTAGACCAAAAAAAAAAAAATATATATATATATATATATATATATAAATGTGGGGGTAGAGTCTATCTTGGTCTATCTCTTTCTAAAGTGCTCAATGCTGTGGTAGCAGAGCTAAGTTTACATATGTTAAAGAATAGGCCATTTTACAGTTGTGTACTTAGTTGCCAAGCCTTTGATTTGGAGTGAGGCTGAAGGTGACCTTGTTGTGTTAGAGACCAGAATCTAGTTAGCATGATAACAAATTAATTTGCATTTCAAAAGCAGTAAGGTTTGTATCATAACAAGATCACCCTTAGCCTCACTCCTGTTCAAAGGCTTGGCAACCAAGCAGACAACTGTAAAATGGACTATTAAAGAGGACGCGTCAATTCTCTGTATGAATCAATGCAACCTCTTTAATTTTTTAACTTATGTATATATGTATATATATATATAACTGTTTTTGAAATAAGAAATAAAAATAAGATTGAAAAACTAAAACATGTTAATTTAAATTAGAAATGTTGCATGACAAGCCAAAATGAAATCTGTGTGACATAAAAAATTGCTTTACATGAATTGCACTCATGCATTTCAGCTGTCATATTTAAACCATTCTTACTCCTCACCTAGCCTCTTCTCTTGTGTGTGGTTAGTAATATTGAATGTGAGATGATATTAAAAAAAGTTAGTTAAATGCAAGAAGATTTCGTTTTCAGTATGATTTACAAAATATGGTAAAATACTTCTCCAGGAAACTAAAGTGCTCGTTTATGCTTTGGTCATGGTGATATAAACAAGTGCTAATAAACTTTGCAGCATATGATGACATTTTGCTCTGCATTTTTTTTAATTCCCTGTGTTTTCAATACATTCTCAGAAATAATAGATTGGGAAATTTCTATCCGTTTGAATGTTACTTCTTTGAGTAGAAAAGATGAAAAATCTGATTTTTGCCCTTGCAAATGGGGAGTCAACTCATACACATATAAATACAGTAATAATGGACTGTTGAAATGATTCCTACCTCTTGCTTGCCTTTGTCCATGGTGGCACTACACAAAACTCCTTGACACAGCTGTGAAAGTGACGACATGGAGTTTTGGGGCAAAAAAGCTTCCAGTGGGGCTTACATATGCTCCATTATGTCACTCAGACTTTTACTTTGAGGTAATTTGGTTTTATTAATGAGTTGATAAGGTAAATTGGCCTCTGTTAAGATTTCAGAAGCTGATGTTTCAAGTGTTAGCCCTTTGTCAGAGGGAAACATTCCTTTGTCATTCACTCTGACAAAGGGCTAATACTCAAAATGTCATCTTTTAAAATCTAAACGGGGACCAATTTATTTACATTATCAACTCTTATATTTTGTTTATTATTAATTTTTCAAAACTCTTTTTTCTGATCCATGATCCAATCTGATCTGGTCCTGGTTTTGCCAACGCTGCTGTGGTTTCCACATTCTTGTCAACCCTCAGCCAGAGCTATTTCTGTATGAACATGCATCATATAATTGCTGTTAGGTTTAGATGTTGGTGTTTTGATTTGACAGTTGTACACATAGATACCCTTACACGGTTGTGCTCTGCTGGTTCCTGGTTACCAAAAGGAACTGAGTTTTAGCTTCAGGCAACTGGAAACATTGCCATTTTGCTGAGTGGGTTGGCTGGCTGTGCTCTTTTTACTCTCTTTTCAAGTTGGATGCATGATTATGCTCATTGGCTAAAATCATGGCTGCTGCCAAATGACAGAAGGGAAGAATCTTCATAATTTGAAGGAACAGGAGCAGTTTTGATGGTTAAGGGGCTACATTGAAATTTTAGTGTGAGCTCTGTCTTGATGATGTGTAAAATAACTGCCAGACAATCACAAGTATTAGCAGGGACTAGCTTATTACAAATAATAATACTAATAGCAGTATCTGTTTCTGGTAATTGGCTTGTATTACTGAGCATCATGCCCTTGCTATGCATAACTTTTGAGTCAGTCTAGCCTACACACTAGAAAAAGGGCAGCTTTTATTAAGGCAAAGGCTCACTAGGGAGGTAAATCTTGCTTGTTTTGAAAGTGGATATCTCTGTTTGATCAGTATATGTCTTACAGTCATCTCTTTTAAGTTGTTTGTACTTTTTAACAGTGATTTATTATTACGGTATTCTTTCAGGCACAGTATCAAGTATTAATGATACTAGTATGAGTAGTCCCAAATGTGGTAGGGCAGTTACTCATAACCTTCGTCCAGGAGAAGGTTTGTCATTCTTCTGCCATCCTAGTTTGAAAGGAAGATATGTCACCATCAGGGATGTTAGGCCAGGTGAATCCGCATTCAATCTTTGTGAAGTTGAAGTGTATTCAGAACAAAGAGGTATGGCATATCTGGATATTTTGAAGAACTACTCTTAACTGCCACTTTATTCAGCTGAGGTTCCAATCTGCATTCTCAGGAAAATTTGCCGTTTAATTTCTGTATGTAGACATGTAGGTACTTCAACATTGTTAAATAAATGTAAAGTTGTGTGTAGCATATAAGTATGATTAAGTTTGGTTTAACAGTCAATGTACATACATGGCCCACCTTAAAACTTTTATTATTAACCTGTAAATCAATAGGTGTTTTTATCTTCAATTAGAGGCTAAAAGGTGATAAAGCTAATTTATTTTTTTTTTCATTTTTCATTTTTTGAGCCTTGAGTTTGCACTCAACAACAACAACAGTTCTTTACACAAATACCTCAAATCACTGGTAAAATAGTTGAGGCATGTTTAGATGTTGCAGTACACTTGTGATTGTTACTGTACATGTATGATATACTAGTACTGATTCTCTGGGTTGAAACCACTGTTTATGGTAATTATGATTGTCTTTTAACAGCATGTCATAGTCAGGCAATTGGATTGACCAGCAGTGATGCAATTCCAGATGGCAGCTTCTCAGCCTCATCATCTTTTAGTAATGCCCGCCAACCTTGGGTTGGTCGTCTGAATTTAAATAGCTGGGGTTGGTTAGCAAAGACTAACACCAATCCTGCTGACTACCTTCAAATTGACCTGCTCTATGATTATGTCATCTGTGCTGTAGCTACCCAAGGGGGTGTTGGTGCTGATCAGTGGGTAACAAAGTACAAGATTCAGTTATCATTAAATGATACCACCTTTTACATTTATAGAGAAAACAACGCTGAGAAGGTCAGTTTGATCTAATTGAAATATCATGCTTAACTTGGTTGAATTTTTTCATATATTTTTTTCTTGTAGTTACATAGAAATACACTTAGTTGTGCCTAATTTTTTGTAAAACAGAAGAATAATGGATAATTATGTAAGAGCATTTTGGTATGTGTAAATTTGAATCAGTTTTATTACCAGGTTAAGTGTTGGTGGAAATGAATGAAAGAACTGAAATGAGCTTCATAGGTCAGGTCTTTCAGGCTTTAAAATGCTTATTTTTGAGGGCGTAATGTAGACCAGTATATGATAACCTACTAACATGGAATGTTGACATGGCTTACAGTTTGATATGAAGTGACTCATTTCGCTTGATCAAATGATTTAAAACTGTTTCTGCTAGAATTACAGCTGTAGATTATCCTCTTTCATCAGTGTTTCTGTGATGGTGTTAGCTACAATTTTTATTGGTTGGATGTAGGCTTGTTGATAATTCAAAGCCAAGGAAAACTGTTGTCACAAAAAGTTCAAATTTTCATGTGAAGTGAATAAACTTGTCAGTGTCTATTATTGTTGACTTGCTTTTGCAAACAGTATCATTTATTAGTTTTGTGTAATCTTTTGATATTTTAGGTCTTCAATGGAAACTCTGGGAGAAATGACATAGTAAAACATGGTCTGAGGGAGTATGCTTTGGCAAGGTTCATCCGTTTTGTGCCAATAGAGTATCATGATTATAAGGCATTGAGAGTGGAAGTTTATGGAGTTCTCTTATCTACAGGTACTAATTCTATTTTCTCTGTGCCATATCATTGAAATCCTACAAGTGTTGCAAAAGGTGGAAGGGAATATTATGACTTACCTAACTTAAAAATGTTGTATATAATCACGTAGCCTACTGATATCATGCTGTAGAAAATATAGCCAATCAGATGGAATTCAGGAATTCAATGTATATTTGATGGTATTGCACCCACTCCTCTTATTGTGTGCTGTAATCTTATTCCTGCCAAAATCAAGCATTTGATACCATTTCTAGTGTATTTCAAGTGCTGTTTAAGCCATGTCAGAACCAAATTCTTCCCTCAACATTAATGTTCGGGTAATGAAAAAAACAAGTGACTTGTGGGATATTCCATGGTATACCACTCAGCATTGCATAACTGGTGTATATTTGAGTGATATATGTATATGTTCTGTGTATATAATCAAATTTATAAGTTATTCCTTAATTTAAGGAAATCAGATTAGCATTTAGTCACATCTTTAATGGCACTCATTTAATCCATCAGGGATTCATATAGTCACTGAGGTTCACTTCGTGTCAGACTCGAAAGAGCTTGAAATTCTGACTTGCAAACTTTTAGGGAGGACACAACTACTGTGATACTACAGAAATAACTCTTCATCATTATTAACAACTTTCATCTTTGTTAATCAATTCAGTTCCTTTATAGGCACATGACCATTGTGAAACTGTTTAATTAAAATACCATATAATCATTTTATTCAACACCAGTTCCATCACAAGCTCCAGGCAACTTCACTGTGACTGCTACGTCATCTACTAGTATAAGAGCATCATGGACATCACTGCCAGAATATGCCAGACATGGAACAATAACAGGTTATAAGGTGTTTTACAGACAGAAGGGTTCAGCAAACAATTCAGTCGTGGAGTCTGTTATTGGAACAGGAATTTTAACTAAAGATTTTGCTAATCTTAACAAGTATACCAAATATGAATTTCAAGTGTTGGCCATGGGATCTCATGGTGAGGGACCAAAAAGTCCTGTAATGGTTGGGCAGACACTGGAAGATGGTAAGAAGGCTAAAACTAAATAGTGTAGGTTGTAAGAAACATTTTTTCCAAAAAAACACATAGCTTTTTGTCATGAGACTGGAACATACTTCATGTGTACATCTTGCCAGGTTTATTGTATTGATATTGTGCATGATATTGTCAGAGTTAAGCTATTATAATTATTAAGAGTTAACTGCCCTCTGCAGTTTAAGTGAACAGGTAAAAGTGCATCATCTAATTTGCACATTTTTTCTGTGAAAGATCAAGTTTATTTCAGTACAGTTTAAATAATAACCTTCATCTTCCATTTCTTTACTACTTTAGCACCAAGTATTCCTTCAACTCTTTCTCACTCTGAGATAAAACCAGATAAACAAGTTGGTCCAAAGTTAAAGCTCACCTGGCATAAGCCAGCAGAAGAAAATGGAATTATCAGGAGTTACACTGTGTTTTATAGTCATGATGAAGATCCTCATAACATTAACACTGAAACCTTAGGAGGAAACATGTTAAGTTACATAGTAGATGTGTTAGGTGGGGCCACCTATCAGTTCCACGTCAGAGCTGCAACGATCAAACCTGGACCAAATGCAACCTTGTCTGTTACTATTAATGATTATGGTAGGTATAAATTAGAAAAGATTATGATCAATAGGCCAGTTTTGATATACTAAAATTCTAACATAGCTCTGTTGCTAAGGGGAATAAAACTAAAAAAACTAATTATTCATCTCACAACCTCCATGTGATTTTTTTTGGTTATTATCCTCACCCTCGGTACCAAGTTTGAATTTTATTACATTGAAAATTGCCTATTAAATTCACTTTCAACTTTAATGTTATCTGATAAGTGTAGATGGTAAGTTATATCAAGGTAGACAAATAGAGAACAGCTGCATTACAGGAGTGGTACAGGAAGGACTCTCCTTATCAACTCCAAGTTCTTTCCAAGATACATGTAGTATTGAAGGACTGGTAAACATGATTGTATTCAACATGAATGACTACGTACCTAAAGAAATAAAAATGTGATGAAGGGGAAAGGAGGGAAGAATTACTGAAATACAATTTAGATAAACTTTGAGGATAAATTTTTGATCCAATGTGATTCAGAAATAATAATTTATTAAATTTTTTCGTTCAATGACAGACAGCTGACCATTTATCTGAATTGGTATATATTTTTATTCCCTTTTGTCAGAACCCATTGTAGCACCAAATGATGTGTCTTTCAGTAGACTGAACCAAACAACCTTCAATATTTCATGGTCACCCCTGACAAGAAAAGAGAGTTATAGCAAAGTTATCTCATATGAGGTCAAGATATCATTGGTGTTGTCTGGAAGTCGACAAAAGAGATCTCCAGCCAACAGCAAAACTGTTAACACAACAAAAGCATTTGTTATCCTGTATGATATTCAGCCTTGTTACAATGTGTATGTCCGAGCATACACTAAAGCTGGCCCAGGACCATATGGTCAACCCTTACCTATGGAATTGAGTAAGTTTCATTTTTTTTCCCACAAATTAAATGTAGAGCACGCAAAATTTTGCTTCAAACTCATTAATTTAGAGCGTATAGAAGCTTGATGTTTAGTCTGATTCAAAATCACCAGTAAGAGTAAGAAAAGCAAGGCATTTTGGCTGTCTTTGGTTGTAGCTTAATTCGGCTAATAACCAGGAAATTGATTAATTGAATAGGGGTTGATATTCAAAATGCATCCCCTAGTGTACCTGGGGAAACAAGTTGCAATGTTTCCCATAAATTTTTCATCGCAAATAGCTGTACATTTTTTCTCACATTCACATTATTTAATTTATTCTTATTACAACATGGACTATTTGTACAAATAAAAAAAACTACAGAAAAAATGGGAAATTAATAAAAGTGCATTTACTGAATACACAAAAGAAGAAACTTACTCTGGAATCTAAAGCAGCTATGATACTTACATTGTTTTACTTACTAATATGACAAAGTACCAGAGGCACCCAACAACCTGAGGGCAACAGACTCTCAGTCAACAGAGATGACACTGGAATGGGTGAGACCCCAACCTGCTATGGAAGAAAAGTGGAAGGTGAAATGCTTTATTTTTTTAGTCTACTTTGCTGTAACAACTTGGGTTTTGACAAAATTTTATACAACTCTTTGAATCTGAGAATCAGAAAGTACTATTTTTGTTATTTTTGTAATTCCTAACCTAAAGAGCGTTTTAACCCTTCAACTCTCAAGATCTTATAAGTAATTCTCCTTACTGTCTGCCATACAATTATTATGACGTCAATTTGGAGAAATTTTTATTTGATCAAAGAATAATCCCCTTATTGATATTTTACTTTATTCTCATCTCTCCTATGCTTGATATTTTATTGTTATTGTAAGGAGAAATTCTGTCTCGATCACTCATGGGAGTTAAAGGGTTCTAGGAGAAGAGATGGAAGTGACTTCTGTTGTAATGAGTATGACACATAAGTGTAGTAGAGTACTGGTACCATCAGTATGACTACCATGTAAGAGCAGCTACTGTAATGTACTGTAATAAGTGAGAGGAGTTATATCTACATGCACAGCTGTATGTTGTTTTGCATGTACATGCCACAACTCCTTTATAAAATAAGGTTTTTTTGTTCTGTGCTGTGATCATAAAAATGCACGTCCAGGTGGGAGATTTTATTTGTAAATAAATTAGTGCAAGTGTGGTATTTACTGTATCTGCATTTGACTCAATTGTTTGATTGTTAAGGTTGAGTACTCTGGGAAAAAGTCTTACAACAACAGCTTTTCACATGAAGGCAGCAAAGATGTACAGGGAACAACAAAATATACCCTTGATAATTTGGTACCAGGTACCAAATATGACCTTCGGGTGTATGGAATCTCAAAATGTGGAAACAACGGATTCTCTTCATCTTTGGAAGTAGAAACAAAAATAGGAGGTAAGCAATAACATGCAGGTAACCGTTTGACCCCCAAGAGTGACTAACATCTAATTTCTCCTTACAATATCATCCCTGAATCACACAATGTGGTCACAAGAATAAAGGAAATGATCACCTACTAAAGTAACTTCTGATTGTTAAACAAATCCTCCTTGTCAGCACTTTAGGAAATATATGGGATCAGTATGGAGAATATGCATCTTGAAATTGATGTAAATATTTTGCTAATCATATTATTATATTTGTTTTCTTCCCAGAGCCATTGGCTCCACTTGTACTATCACTGACCACCAGGAAGGTCGCTGAGTCGCAGGCTGAAATTGAACTTTGGCCTGCTGAACAAAGGAATGGTCCAGTAAGGTGATGGTTTTATAGTTTGTGTCACAGATTAGCTAAAAGCATAAACTATTAATGATAAACTCACCTGAGAAGGACACAATTCTTGCTTTCACTGTGCACATATTGATGTTAATCTTGTATACATAGTCCATGATATGAGAAAGATACAATGCCTTAATTAGGTCTTTCGAACTTAAGTTGCAATACCAGACTGGGTAAAAATCTCCTTGTTGACTGTAACGTTAACAAAACGCCAGTTCTGCAATCAACAACATTTCTGTTTAGGACTATTCTTCCCAAGACGATCAGATCGCACAACTGGCTACTATATTGAACACAAACACATGACTTTGTTGCAAAGTCTTTCGCAAAAGTTCCTAAGTGCTTAACTCAAGTCATTAAAGACCATCAAACAACCACCACCTTTCAATACGGCGATGACCGCAATGATGTTGACCAGAATTTTGTTCGTTTTCAACATTTCAGTGCTTATCAAATAATCATTCTTAAAGTCTCTGATTGTGTTCAAGAGTTTCCCAAGGATTTTCATTTGAAGCTGAAAGATTTAAACGACGAAAATTTGAACTTTCATCCGTTTTACATCGCTGCGGAAATCGAAAATGATCCTGTGCATGAGAAATCTTGGAAATTTACTATTGGTGACGGGAAATCGTATGGAACTTTTATCAACAAAGAACTGAGGAAAGGAGGAAACTATTTTGCCTATCAAAGAGCAATAACTCGTTTCAATGGTGTAAGTAAATTTGGGTGTTGTTTAATTGTTCTGTAATTTAGAGTTGATAATCTAAACATAATATCCACTTGATGAAGAAAGTTATTTTGGACCAAACCATGTTTTTACGTGCAGTCACACTTGCTGTTAGGGATAAATCTCACTTCCTTATATCAATGAATTTTATAATGTGTTTGTCACTTTTTGACCATGTTTGGTTCACTTTTTAGCAAATTTTGGAAGGATATGCCAGTAAAGTGGCCTCGATATCTGTCACACCAGGTATGCGAGTTAACACTCACGTGAGACTTGAAAGTAATTTCTCTATCTTTTCAGTTTAGTGGGCTGTTAACTTTCATGAGAGCTTTGTGACTTGGAGAGAAACTTCCCTTTTGGCAAGAGTCAATTGTTACAGTTGCGCGGGCAAATTAAAAAAAAAGTTAAAATCAAATAATGGCAGATCCTTGTTGAAGTCTGCCACTGTTTCAAAAGTTTGTGCCTGGCCTTATTTCTCCCCTTCAACTGAATAAGTTAGGTTTAAAACCTCGGCCACTGCAGATTACGAAAAGCAAACTAACCTACCACCGTTTCTGTGTTTACTAGATAATTCTTATTCCGGTCTGCATTTACATTTGGTCACCTTTCAATTCTTATCATAATTATCATAGAATAACATCCTTTTTAGTAGCTTTTTGGTTATTTTATTTTCACTTAAATGTAAAATTTGTGCAACTTCCATTGATGTAATTAACAAAAGCGCCTTGATGCTTTCAGCTCTATGATGAGAAAGGCCACAATCTAGATTAAGGGCAGGTTTTTTGTTCTCGCTTGCTCTTCTACGAATTTTAATGTTTAACTATTATTTTCTTTCAATCTGCAGAGTCACTTAAATATACTAAAGAAACCATAAAGGGAGATGCCAGTAAGTATTGTGGGGACACAAGAAGCTGGTCTTAAATTGTTGATTAAACAGCGCCAATAAATCCATAATTAAACAGCATGTTGGAATAATCTCGTAATAATCATTTGATTCCTCTCAAAGCTATCACTTGATTCCTTCATTATTTTCTCCAATTTTCATGGAGACACAGATTTTCATATCTGATGTAAATCCCTCCTATTTTCTAACAGGTGAATCCCAAGTCTTTCGGGCTGCTGTCATCGCTCTTTGTTGCATTGTTTTCTTCTTGCTCATTGTGATTGGTGCGCTAATATGGCGGTTGAGACGAACTGAGCTTAATAAAAAAGCAACCACAGTAAACAGTGGTATCTCCGCCCCATCTGGTGGTCATCAAGCGTCAGAGCCTGGTGTTTATATGGAACTCCACCCTAGGCCTTCGGAAGGGAAGTCACGTGAACCTCCTGAGTACCAGTCATTGCAGGACACTCAAGTGACTTCCAATTATTACAATGTGGGATTCAAGAAAGAAAGGTCAGGGAAGAAAGACGGCGGAATCTACGAGAATTCGCACAGTTGAATGCTTTAGTCTCCTCTTGACGCTTGATTGATCTAAATTGAAGCCGCCCGGTAAGATGTGGGTCTGTAAGCCCTACAGACAGTTTGTTATTGAAGACTTGGTTTAACGAACATCAGAACGTTCGTAAAAGCCCAACCACATGATGAATTTCCGTAAGAGACTAACTCTATAAAGAAATTTCGTGGAAAAATAGACCGTGTAATTAAACTAAGCAAGAATTAGGAAAATTTTTATCTTACAAAGTAGTAGTAGTAATCTTTAATGAGGATGCCAACGTCACGAAGTGGTTTATAAAAGGGTTCTCAGAAGAATACTAAGTTTAGATTAAGAACCAGTTAAACATACAAAAATGTAAAAGTTTAAAAGAGTATATACAATTATCAAGCATCAAATATAACCAGTTAAAAATACAGGAATGTAAAAGATAAAAAGAATATACAAAGGGTAAAAAGCAAAGAATGTCGTTAAGAATCAAAGACAACTTTGGACAGGCCACGTTTAAAAGCAGGCAGTGACTCTGCATTCCTTAATGAAGTGCCTAAGCCGTTCCATATATCGGTGCTAAAATTTACTGACGACCAATGACCCCATCTTCTTGCGGCACTAGATTTGCGAATGTCATTTCTCGATCTTGTGTAGTAACTATGAAAATCACCATTGAATGTGACAGGGATAGAGGGACAGAAATGGTTGTTAATCAATTTATACGTAAAAATACCATGATGTTCCTTTGTACGTCGCACTGCATTATTATAGTTAGCCTTTGTTGTGTACCTGATGACATTCGCCCACATATTAACGGGGCAGGGAAACATACAAACTTTTATACAAATTGTATGAGTAACGCATGACAACTGAATTACCTTATGTACCGGTAATCGCTCATTGTGAATGAAATTACATGCAGCAGAATGTAGAAAGGAAAATCTTGAAATGATTCTGAGTCACTTTTAGCCATGTTGGTCCTAAGAGGAGACGATTTACCCCGAATTGTAGCCTAAGAATTGGGTAAAATGTGTGGGAAGTCGAAGAGATGCTCAGTCAGGAGAAAGTGCTCTTTAAATGGAACAACACTCGTAGACAGCTTTCTGAAATTGGTCAAAAGTACTCTTTCCTTCTTGGTTGATACTGCTCAAGTCCAGACCAGACCATTGAAAACTCCGCTTGATTTCTTCTAATAAGATGTTTGGCTGCAGAAAAATATAAAAACATCTTGCACTTATTAATTTTGTTCGCCGCAATGACTTCAAACTTTCAGCGATTTTGCTAGCGTGACAGCCGATTATGAAAATTAGTCCATTGAACAAACTCCGACCGTTTTATATAAGTAGCTCAATAAATCTTAGATTTTAACCATTTTAAGTTGAAAAGATAGTAGGACAGAGCTTTTAGACTACACCGATTGATACTCTAAACATTTCAAAAGGCCAGAATTTGACAAATTTTACCCTCTCGTGACGAAAGACGTCAACAACAATGCATCGAATATCATAATTTGATTAGCGCTCGCTTAACATTTTAATGGCAAACTCTTTCTTAAAAATTTGGCTTCTGCTACTTCATGCATATTTGAGTTCTGACAGGTTACGCTATTCAAACCTGTATGAACATTTCAGAACCAAACTACAGGATTCTATTCAGTGTAACCGGCGATAACAGCACAAATTGAAATACACCTTGACCAGTGACTCTGTCACGTAATTCCATCGTATAATTGTCCTGAATACCTCTCAAGTCCAAGTAAAGCAGCGATTGCTCGAATTTCTAGCTGACAGGAACAAATGATATTTGGTCGCCACACCTGTCTGCATAGCAGTCGCTGTTCATAACTTTGGAGAGTTCTTGTGAAAAAGGATATCGCATTCGCATAACGGGTGGACGTCATAATTAGACTGCATTACAACTCCACTCCGAAATCATTTCCTCCATTTTTGCAAGAAGTGTTGTCTTTGCATCTCGCATTTTGAATGCGAGCTCAAAATGTTTGCACATGTCTCTTAGTACCTTGACTTTGAGGCTGGGCAACCTTTACCCTCTTGCAAACGAGCACACATCATAGACAGCAAACATGATTGGATTTTTCAGTCCTATCTCATCCATTACTGTGCTCCTGGCCTCCCTCAAACACGAGTACTGCCTGACGTTTTGCGAAAGCCGTACACTTGCACCTCTCTTATGAAGAGCTCATCCCATGGGAAGCTGTGAAGCACTTGTCAAGGGTTCTGTGGCCGCTGCAACCAGTTCAGTCGAACCCTCTAATGACAATGACTGAAAGTGATGAACCCACTCCCTCTTCACTTTGCCATAAAGACTTTCAGTCATGCTCGCAGACACAGGACTTACATGATGAACCACCAAGTTCATATGGAGCTCAAGGTCGGATTCTGTGACGCAGGATTTTTTCAACAGGCACCTTACTCTTCGCCTGTGCTCTTGCCTTCTTTATTTGTCTATCTGAGAGGTTTTCAAATGGCTGATGCATGCGTTTAAGCTCGTTAGCTGAAAATCTATCGGCATAAATACTCAGTATTTGAGTCCTAAGTGATTTTATGGAAGCATTCTGATAGGCGGCCTTAAGGGTTTGAAGGCCAACATCAATAGCTGTCTTGCACTTCTCTTCATGGTCTACGACCGCTTGGAATAACGCTTTTCCATCTCTTAGAGCAATGACATCGCACACCAGCTGACACGCTTCCCCAGCTTTTTGTACAAACTCAGATTTTTCGGGAAAGGAGCATTTTCCCTTATACAATCTACTTGGGATTCCAAACGTGTAATCCTGGGCTTTTGTGCAACATCGGCGAGGCTGTCGATATATGCATTTAAGACTTGAATTGTATCTATGCTAAAGTTCTGAATAGAACTGTCTTAAAGACAGGTGTGCAGACAAACTTTCTCTTATTCCAGCCGACTAGAATGCTGATCCAAAAATGATGTTATCGCTGCTTTATTTAGAAAGGAGAAGGATGTACCTCCTCTTGACGCTTGATTGATCTAAATTGAAGCCGCCCGGTAAGATGTGGGTCTGTAAGCCCTATAGACAGTTTGTTGTTGAAGATTTGGTTTAACGAACATCAGAACGTTCGTAAAAGCTAACCACATGATGAATTTTCGTAAGAGACTAACTCTATAGAGAAATTTCGTGAAAAACCGACCGTGTAATGAAACATAGCAAGAGTTAGGAAAAATTTTATCTTGTAAATGCAGAATTGAACGCTTCTACACTGCATTACTATACTTAGCCTTTGTTGTGTACCTGATGATATTCGCCCACATATTGACGGGGCACAGAAACACACAAACCTTTATACATAATAATAATAATAATAATAATAATAATAATAACTTTATTTAACGAGGGTAAAGACATTGATTACTGGTCACCCAGTAGTTTTCATAATGGCCCTCCTCCTTATACAAACTGTAGGAGTAACGCATGACAACTGAATTACCTGATGTACTGGTAATCGCTCATTATGAATGAAATTACATGCAGTAGAATGTAGAAAGGAAAATTTTGAAATAACTCTGAGTCACTTTTAGCCATGTTGCTCTTAAGAGGAAACGATTTACCCCGAATTGTGGCCTAAAAATTGGGTAAAATGTATGGGAAGTCGAAGAGATGCTCAGCCAGGAGAAAGTGCTCTTTAAATAGAACAACCAATTTCAATACTGTGGTAGGAGTTGAATAAAGCAATGCACCGTTGAAAATGATTATTTTGTCTTTCCACAGTCCATGTCGGTATCTTTTCGAACCAAACGATGCCTCGAAGGAAAATTTGTGGATTTTTTTTATTTATGTTTCGAGTGAAAGATTTATTTTGCCTCTGGAAAATGTAAGAAAAAATAGAAATACCAGTAACATTAAATCGCCTTTTTTCCTCTTGATAGAAATTCTACGACCAAATCCTTGAGTCGTTCAATTGAAAATATTAGATAGTTTTAGATTTACAACCGCAGCATGGACTTCAAATATTACTAAAGGTCTTGTGACAAGTACCTTCACAACAGTCGCAAAAATATATCGATACAATATCAGTCTTATGCCTGAAGCGTGACGTCGTGGACTCGGCTGATCAATCACCTGCTTTGTCTCGCCAATAAAAGAAGATTTTTGACGTCAGCAAATGACGTTTGCCTTTTTCTTACCAAAATTAAATCTATCAAGTATGTGCTCCTATTATTTGTTTTAACTTGGTTAGGGTGGCTTAATAAAAACACCTAAACCTTGACTCTGATAATTTCTTTTTAAACCGATCGACCAGTGCCCCCCTTTTTGTATCACCCCAAGCAAGATGAAGTAAAGGGATCAATTGGATCCCCCCCCTCCCCACAAGTGATTCTGTGCCTTCTTCCCTGAGGCAGATCAAGCTATAAATTCCTGCAGAACAGGGGTAATTTTTTTCGTTTTCCAAGCAAGTGAAACAAAGAGGGGCTCGCGTCTCCACTTGCCTTGATGAGCCAAAAAAACCGCCTCTTCTGTAGGTTAACTTCCTGTGTTGTCAAACAACTACTTTCGAACATTTTCAAACAGTTTTCGGGTCTAACGTAACATGGTATGGAACACTGACGATATCCGTTAAACCTTACGGTTTCGTATCTTCTCAGTGGTCCGTTAATCTGTGTTTTTGTTGTAAATCTTAGGAATACAGAGATTGTAGGGTTGTTTTTGTGAAGGAGTAAGTTTTTTCAAAATTGAGATGGATAATTAAATTGGAAGCGATTGTTTCACAAGAGATGTGCTGGAAAGAAAAAGAAAAGAAAAGAGGAACAAAGATGGTCAGTGAAAGTGATATTCAGACTGATTAACTCTCAGGAGCGACAAAGGTAAAGGAGGTAAGTTTCAAAAGAAATTGTGGTGCTAGGTTGGTAGGGGGTATAACCTGATAATTTGGTTTTGTCAACTGAGTTGATAATGTAAATTGGCCACCGTAAAGAGTTTCTTAAGAGATTCTCTATAAACTGTGGCCCTACCTTGTCAAGATACACAAGTGAAAAAA